GTCCTGACATAGCCTCAGTGTAAGTACGAGGAGTCGGTATATGTGGAGCGTAAGGGTCTCCCTCAGGGGCTAGGAGCATGGCACAGAGATTTGGAGAAGAGGCTGCTAGGAGCTCTAGCTCAAACTGCCTGTCCTCTAGGATGTCACAGCGAAGGGCAGACTCACCCTCTGCGTACAGAGGACGGGTAGGACGAGCAGCCACCAAGCTGGTGGCGTAGTCAAGGTGGCAGGTCGCGGCAAAGTCAATGACAGTGGCAACAAGAGTCGAGACAGACGACGGAGAGGCGGTAGGGTCCGTGAACTTGGGAGACCATAGAGCAAGCAGTGCGGTAGTAGTCGGTGAGATGCAGTGAGGAAACTGTGAGAGCTGACAAAGGAGGCAACGTGAGGACAGACGGAGGCAAAGTACGAGGAGGGGCAGGCCACTATAAAACTCACCGGAGGTCCCGAACAAGAGACGACTACAAGAAGTCGGGGAACAAGGGGCCCAAGGGGATTGGACAACACGAGGAGACGACTGTGGTTGAGGAGGAGACTGAATGGGAGCCAAGTCCAGAGGAGGAAACGTAGGACCGTGAGAAGACAGTGAGCGAGCAGGAGGAGAGGAAGGAAGACCAAGGGTCCAAAGACCACTCACAGGTGGCGACGACCGCTGCGGCAGAGGGTATTGCTACATCTACAATTGCGGCTGCTGCTGCGGCTGCCGCTGCTGCACCTTCTGCTTCTCCTACTGCTCCAGATGCCGTAGACAACGCTGAATCCTCGTCAGGTAATGGTGACCAGACGAAGCAAGCGCCGTAGAACCAGTGTCTCAAGCTCCAGCACCCCAAGAGCAAACACCTCCAACTCCAGTGCCTCCAACTACAGCACCCCCATAACCAGTACCTCCAGCTCTAGTACCGCCACCTCCAGCACCTCCAGCTCCAGCACCTCCGGCTCCAGCACCCCCAGCACCAGCACCTCCAGTGCCAGCACCTCCAGTCACAGCACCCCCGAAACCAACTCCCTCAGATCGAGCACCTGCACCAGCACCACCGGTAGCAGCACCCCCGGAGTCCACTGCGACCTGCCGCGGTAGTACCGAAGTGTCAAAATATATTTATATATATTTATAATATATGTCTGTTCTGTAACTGTAGTTTGGTTCTTTTGTATGTGGTGCACCTGTGTCTTTTGTGCTTTGCTATATGTACCGTGTGTGCTATAGTGAAGTCACTCATTCCCGACATTCTCCTTGGAAAAACCCTCTCGATATCATTGGCCAAGACTCCTAAGCCTAGGCCCTCCCTAAACCTTGCTTCTAGTTACGTTCTTGTCTTGACATGGTGTCAGAGCTAGTAATTTCCTAGCCTGTCAAATTTATGGCCCAACCAACATCTAACTCTCGCGCCGTCCGCTCGTATCTCGTCACATTCTGCCCATGGCGTGCGCGACCCATGGCGAGCACGTCCGCAAACCCGCCGACGGACCCGCCAACGAGCGCGCTAGCGAGCTCGCTGAAGAGCCCGCCGACAAATTCACTAACGAACCCGCCAACAGATCCGCCAGCGTAATATAGGTCAACCCTAAAATAACCCTAGCAAATGAGTGTACACCACCTAGTCTAACAAGTACGAACTATATAAAATATAGTTTCACACACCCACATAGTCTAGGTGACAGTGGTCCTGTGTAAAGCAACAGATATCTCAGGGTGTATCACGAAGTCACCACACTGTCTGAGAGCAAGGGTCAGAGGACCAGTCAGCAAGAACAAGCAACGGTCACAAGACCAGTCCACAAGACAAATCTCAGGGTGGATCTCAAGTCACTAGACAGTCAGAAAGGAAACTGAACCTGAAACACGTTTTTACTAACTGTAAAAACGTGCACAACTATGAACGTTGCAGAAAAACGTGCACAACTATGAACGTTGTAGAACATGAGCAACTTTGTCAGGTGAAAACCACATTGCATTGTCGTTTCACCTGTCGTTGCTGACTCGGCAGAGGTGCTTGCTTGTCGAGGAACGTTTCTCCAGGGTTCTTTGTCTTTGCTATTTGGTTCTCCTTCTTTGTACCATAATCTTGTTCTATGAACTTTTCCTAGTGAACCTATGCTTGAATTCTATCAAGGCATTCTAACACTCTGTCAAGAATCACTGCCAGAACCCTGACCGTGCGTCCCATGTAATTCAGCTCTCCCGTAGAAAAGCTATCTTCAGATTAGACGACTTTGCGCGTGGACGACCCCGCGTTGGAACCTTCAGATTAGACGACTTTGCGCGTTACCTAAGTTGTTGTTAGGCCGGGAAGTGTCTTAGTCGCCATGGTCGACCCTATAGTCGAAGCAGGCGTAGAAGATACCCTGCAGGCGAGAGAGGCTGATGTTCGGGCACGCCACGGGGCTGGCGAGTACGGCGAGGCGGACTTGGAGATTCTGCTCCTTGGAACTTGTGCGCAGTGGGCGCGTGAGCATCCCCCTCCCCGTGCTGAAGTGGACGGCGCGTCCGCCTCTCCCCGACACGTGCACAACGAAGGTGACGGCGGCAATGTTGTCGGCGGTGGAAGCACGAGGGTTCGGGAAGTGATTCGCGCCGCTGACGTCGGCGTTGGCGGAGTGCAAGCGCAAGTGTTGCGATCGTCTGCGACTGGAGGCAGCTCGAACGGCAATGTCGATGGTCGACGTCAATCTCCTCAGCGGAGTGGAGTCAGGCCGACCTCGGCGACTCATGCGTCGGCTGGTAGAGACGGAGGCATCGCGCCAGCATATGGCTATTTTATTTTTTCGCCTGACAAGATCGCTGTGCCGAAGCTGCCCGAAGGTCGACACGACTTGATCACATGGATCGAATCCATCGAGCCTCAGCTAGAGATTGCCGGATTGAAGAAGTTCATCGACGGAAATGTTTAAGCGCCGGACGAGGAGGATGTCGAGCTCTCGTCGGAATTTTGTGCTGCTCACCTTCTGACCTTTATGGTCATTTCGAGGTGTTGCTCGCCTCGAGCTCTGGTCGGAATTTCGTGCTGCTCACCTTCGAACCTTTATAGTCATTTCGAGGTGTTGCTCGCCTCTGGTGCAAGTCGCATTGAAGTCGTGCAGACTTCGAGTGGATGCTGGCTACAAAGCGTGGCAGTACATCATGCACACCTATAAAGCGACCGACGACCTCTACATCAACCAGCTAGAGAAGAAATTGACTAACGTTCGTATGGGGGAGCAGGAAACAGCGACTAAGTACTGCAATCGAGCGCGGCGAGTTTTGGCCGATCTGCGGATGGCCGGCGTCGACTACTCGGTGGCGTTGAATGTCACCCATGTCATCAGTGGCCACCCCTCGGGCTACAATCTAATGCACCGAATGCTGACAGTTCCCGGCACGCGCGAGACTCTGAACGAGGACTCGCTTTCGAGCCACATCATCCAGGACGAGTTCATGCAGGAGTCTGAGCGACCCGCACAACTACTTTCGCAGGCCAACTACGTCGCCCCGGCAAAGCAGGGACGCCAACAGGGGCAACTTGGGAAATCTGGTGGAGGCGGTGGTTGGAAGTCGTCGAACGCGAAATCGACGGAGGGTGCCGACCGCGGAAAGTCGGCGAAAGGAGGAGATCGCGGCAGCAGTGGCTCGCGTCGAGAAGGACGTCGCTGCTACATCTGCGATGCTCCCGACCACCTCTCGTACGACTGCCCCGACCGAGACGAGTCTGACGACGACGCCAACCGCAGAAGGTCAGATGGTGGCCGTCGTCGTCGAGAAAACCAGCCGCGCAAGGAAAAGCAGACGTCGACGACGTCTTCGACGAAGGATGCCGACTCATCTGGCGGCAATGCTCGTGGCGAGGAGGCTTCGTGCTCGATGGTCGGCGTGGTGGAGCCGACGATCTCGCTGGCGCTGGAGGCTGGCGAAGACTGCAAGGCGGTCGCTGCTGCTGTGCAGGCCAATCTGACTGTTGTGATGCTCGACAACGGCTGCTCCCACGATTTTATGGGGACAAAGTAGGCCTTCGTCGACATGTAGCCGAGCGGCGACGTTTGCCACGTCCGCGGCTTCAACGGGGCACTTCAAAGCATCGAAGGCAGAGGCACCATTGCTCTGCAAGGTGAGGCCGGGAAGCAGGTCCTCGTCCCATACGTACTCTACGTTCCGGGTGTGCACGCGAACCTGTTGTCTGCAGACCAGCTCAAGGAGAACGGCGTGAAGCTACAGGACGACGGCGGGGAGATGCTGCTGGTGTCTTCTACTGGCGAAGTCCTTGGTCGAGCACGCTACTCTGGCAGAGTTCTCTACACCGACCTGCGCCCCTGCTCGACGAAGTCGACAACGACTTCGACGGAGGTTGTGGCTCTGCGGACGATCGCGTCTGCGACGAAGTCAACCCCGGACATTTGGCACTCTCGACTTGCGCACGTCGGCGTCGACAAGATCAAAAGCTCGGCGAAGCATGCGGTCGCCGCCGGTCTCAACATCAAGAAGTCGACCGCAGATAATCTGTCGTGTGCCTCCTGCGTCGGCGGCAAGATTGCGCGGCACACCTTCCCCGACCAAGGATCGGACGCAGGGAATGCGCTCGACGTGGTGCATATCAATCTCTGCGGGCCGTTTCGAATGGCCGCCAACGATGACAGTCTCTACTTTCTTCTGTTGAAGGATAGGAAGACTCGTTACGTGTGGGTGAGGCCGTTCGCGAAGAAGAGCGACGTGATGGTCGTCTTCAAAAAGTGGCTTAAGTTGGTAGAGAGGCAGACTTCGAAGACGGTGAAGATGCTGCGTTCTGACCGCGGAGGGGAGTTCCTCGGTCGCCCCTTCACCGACCTCGTCGAAGACGTGCTCCTACGCTCTGCAGCAGAACGGCATGGCGGAGCGGGAGATGCGCACGGTCGTCGAGGCCGTGCGGACGATGCTTCTGCACATGGGCGTGAAGCACCACTGGTGGCACCTTGCTCTGCGACAGGCTATCTGGGGGCGCAATTGCCTCGAACGGGCTTCTCTGCCTTCGGGGACGACACCGCAAGAGCTGATGTTCAAGAAGAAGCCGGACTTGACACTGGCACGCGTGTGGGGCTGCATGGTGCAGTTCATGGTCCCCGAGCAGCGGTGCGGCGGGAAGTTGGCGCCGAAGGCCCGTTCGGGGCTTCACCTCGGAGTGTCGGCGGAGAGCAAGGGCTTGGAGGTGCTCGACTTGATGAACAATAAGGTCATCACGACGGTCGAAGCGATCTTCTACGAGACCCTGTCGATGGAGATGTGGAAGGTGGAGTACGGACCGGCGTCGACGACGACACCCTCTACACCGCCGACCGATTCCTCCTCGGTGCACCCTCCACTGCTCGCCGCGGACGACGAGCTTGATGAGGACGACGCAGACGACGTCACCCCCTCCCCCCCTCCCCCTGTTCAGGGCTCCCTGTCGGCCGCCGGCGATGAGGGGAGACTTGGTGTGTCGCCTGCGGCGCCGACTGGTTGCATCGCTGGTGGCCAACGTGACGCCGAGAAGGTCAGCGACGGGAAGCAGCAGACGACAGGGGAGTCGTCGATGTCGAAGAAGACCGCAGAGACGCCGTCGGCAGAGCGCCAACCGCAGAGAAGCTGTCAGCAGAGGCGCCGACCGCAGAGAAGTCGTCGGCAGAGGCGCCGACCTCAGGGGAGCCGTCGGTAGAGGAGATGCCGACAGGGGAGCAGATCGACGACGACTCGTCGAGCGACGTTGCGGAAGTCGTCGGTGCGGCCGGCGGCGATGCAGGGGAGTTATCGACAGGGGAGCAGTCTGACGACGGCGACGTGGTGGAGGTCGCGGTCGAAGAGGCAAAACCGCGACGGTCTTCCCGCTCCAACATCAGCAAGCCGCCTGAGAAGCTGAGCTACAACGCTTGTCCGCCGCCGACGACCGACAGTACTATGCTCGACGACGCGCAGGCCGACATCGACATGCCCGAACTCGCCCCTGACGTGCATGCCGATCCGGGGCACCACTGGGACATCGCCAACATGACGGTGAAAGAGGCGTTGGCGAGCTGGAAGGGAAAGGCGGTGAAGGCCGCCATGGACGAGGAGATATCTCTAACGGCACATGGGAGCTCGTCGACCGTCCGCGCTGTGTTAATGTCACGAGGAACCGCTGGGTTTTGATGACGAAGTACCACATCAACGATACGGTCGCCCGTGAGAAAGCCCGCCTGGTCGTGAAAGGCTTCACGCAGGTCTACGGCGCAGACTACGACAAAACATACGCGCCGATGGGGAGCTACATCACTCTGCGAATCTTCCTCAGCATTGTCGCCATCCTCGACTTGCATCTGATGCAGCTCGACATGAAGAACGCGTTTCTGCAGAGCTAGCTGGATCGCGTCCTCTACATGTACCAGCCCGACTACTACAACGATGGCACCGACCGCATCTGCAAGCTGTTGAAGAGCTTGTACGGGCTGAAGCAGAGTCCGCTGCTGTGGTACTCGGCGCTCGACGCAGTGCTAACCGGCGCCGACTGGAAGAAGAGCCAGGTCGATGAGGCGCTGTACTTCAAGGTCGGTGACGACGGAGTGGCGTGCTGGGTGCTCGTCTACGTCGACGATCTGCTTGCCGCAAGCAGCAGCACTGCGATGCTGAAGGATATGAAAGAGCTGCTGGAGGCCGCTTTTGAGCTGTGCGAAATCAGCCCAGTCGATAAGTATCTCGGGTTGGAAATCGTGCGCGACCGACAGGCGCGGAAGCTGTGGCTTCACAAGCAAGCCTACGTCGACAAGCTGCGTCGGCGTTTCATCGACGAGGACCAGACCGGGCGAGTGCCGAAGACGCCGGTCTCCGTCAACGCCTAAGCAGAGCTGATTTTCGACGACGAGGTGTACCAGTCGCGCGAGGAAGCAGAGTACCGGCAGAAGGTCGGCTCGCTGCAGTTCGCGGCTGCCACGACGAGGCCTGACATTGCCTTCGCCTGCAGCAAACTCGGATCAGGCCTAACTGTGCGTAGCGACAACCACTGGCGTGAGGTCGATCGCCGTCTGCTCTACCTCGCTGACACCCGTGACACCGCTCTGGAGTTTGACGGCGGACCAGAGTCGCTGTGTCTGGTCGGCTATGCAGACACCGACGACGCTGGCGACAAGCAGAATCGGACGAGCACGGGCGGCTACGTGTTCGTCTTCGGAGGAGCCGCAGTCTCCTGGTCGAGTCAGCGTATAAAGTGCGCCACGCTCTCGTGGACCGAGTCAGATTATGTCGCGGCCACTGAAGCAGCCAAGGAGGCGCGTCGACTTTGCTTCCTCCTTGCGGAGTTCCAACTGCTCGACGCTGGGAAACCGACCGTGCTGCACGTGGACAATCAGTCGGCCATCATGGTCGCAGAGGGCTTAGGCTCAAGGGCAACCTCAAGCTTATGGAGCAACGGTATGCCTGGGTGTAGCAGATGGTGAAGCGCAGGAAGATCGCTCTGCAATACATCCCGACCACCGAGAAGCCGGCCGATTTTCTGACAAAGGCTCTACACTTTCCGGCCATCAACCGGTGCTCCGTCGTATTCGGCCAGGTTCGCCTTGCCGAAGTCGGCGACGATGACGTGCAGCAGTAGGCGCCATGTCCTTCAACATGGCTGGTGCGGCGGACGGCGTGCTGGGTTTGTACGTCGTCGATGTATCCCCCTTATACTCTATTACGTAGGTCTTCGGGTGGACCTTGTGTGTATGTGTGTGCCCAAGCGTGAGCTGGGCAGGGGAGTCGAGGAGAAAAGGCCCCGCCCTTGCTTGGGCGAAGTCGGCCATGCTGTCCTGAGCACAACGGTGTTCGTTTCGTGGTCATCGGCGACTTCAGGGACTTTATCTGTGTGCGACTGCCTCTGGGACTCTGATCTCTGTGCGACGGGGCGTCTTTCGACGATATTATTTAGTCGAAACTGAAGTGTTGTTTCTGCTCTACGAAACTGCCCGTCGACGAGGCACTTGTCGACGGGAGGAAATCGGCGTCGAAATCGAGCCTCGCAGGTCGACGAAATTGCAGAAATCGGCGTTTCGACGAGACGTTGGTCGACAGAATTGTGCTCGACGAGTGCATCGTCGAGCAGAGCATTTCTGGTCGAACGAAATTACTTGTCTTCAAATTTCGCAATGTGCGCGAATTTCGACCAATCGTGAAACAGCAAATTTCTACCAATCAGGTAATCACTGAAATTGTTCTCCCTGTGAGAATTCGATTCAGTAAGGAAACTAAACCTGAAACACGTTTTTACTAACTGTAAAAACGTGTGCAACTATGAACGTAGAACATAAGCAACAACTTAGGCAGGTGAAAACCACATTGCATTGTCGTTTCACCTGCCGTTGCTGACTCGGCAAAGGTGCTTGCTTGTCGAGGAACGTTTCTCCATGGTTCTTTGTCTTTGCTATTTGGTTCTCCTTCTTTGTACTATAATCTTGTTCTATGAACTTTTCCTAGTGAATCTATGCTTGAATTCTATCAAGGCATTCTAACACTCTGTCAAGAATCACTGCCAGAACTCTGACTGTGCGTGCCATGCAATTCAGATCTCCCGTAGAATAGCAACCTTCTCAGAACTACCTGTCCTCCAGTGTAAAACTATATTTGTTTTAGTTTGTATTGTTTAGTCTAGGTGGTGTACTACTTCATTAGTGCTAGGGATATGTTTGCTATATCTACCATTGTACTTGTTCATACTAGTCATTCATTCTCTCGTTCAGTTGTTTTCATGGTATCGAGCGTAGTTCGATCCGATGGGCTCACCGCCTAGCGCCCCGACCTAGCCCGTTATCGCCCCATGCCCCGTGGCCCCCCGCGCCCCGCCCGTTACGCGCGTGTTTGAGGGTTTGCCGCTAGTTGGCCGTAGCGCCCTAGTGCGCCCCGGGCCCCGTCTCCTAGCTTCTCCCGTCACCCCGCAGCCCAGCGCGCCCCGTCACCCCGCAGCCCAGCGTGCCCCGTCTGTCTGAAGCGCCCGCTTTGTTGCCTTCCCGTCGCCTCCCCATCACCTTCCCGTCGCCTCCCTGTCACCTCCCCGTAGCATCCGCGTCGTCTTCCCGTTGCCTCCCTGTCACCTTCCCGTTGCATCCTCGTCCCCTTCTTGTCGCCTCCCCGTTACCTCCCCATCACCTTCCCGTCGCCTTCCCGTTACCTTCCCGTCGCATCCTCGTAACCTCCCCGTGGCCTCCCCATCTCCTCTCCGTCACCATCCTGTTGCCTTCCAGTAGCCTCCCCATCCCCTCCCCGTCGCATCCCCGTCGCCACCCCATCGCCTCCCCGCAAGCAGCTGTCAGATTTATATGACATAGCTGGTGTAGGCTATAGTGGGGTAGCACATATGGGGTACAGCTTTCTAGGGTTTGTACTTGTACCCAACTTTCCCTTAGTCATTTTCATTCCTCGTAATTTTCACATGGTATAGAGCGGGTTCCCTCGTGGGAACGCTTCCTAGGGCCCACCCAATCGATTTTTTTTTTTTTCCCTGCCCGGAGCGCGCTTCGCTCCTGCCCGAGTCGCGCCCCGCGTGCCCTCCCTACCGTCGCGCCCTCTCTAGGCCCCTTACGGCCCCCTCGCGCCGCCCTTCACGGCCCGTCGCCGCCCTTCGCGGCCCTTCGCGCCGCCCTTACGGCCCGTTGCCGACCTCCACGGCCCCTCGAGCCGCCCCTCGCGGCCTCTTCACGGCCGGTCGCCGCCCTCCGCGGCCCCTCGTGCCGCCCTTCACGGCCCGTCCGCCGCCCCTCGCGGCCTCTCTCGGCCCGCCGTCGCCGCCTCTGCAGCAGCAGCAGCCGCAGTCGCTACAGCGGCCGCGGCCGCCGTCCCCGCAGCAGCAGCAGCCGCCGCCCCTGCAGCAGCGGCCGCCGCCGTCTCTGCAGCAGCGGCCGCCGCCGTCCCTGCAGGAGCGACCGCCGCCGTCCCTGCAGCAGCGGCCGCCACCGTCCCTTGAGCAGCAGCCGCCGCTGCCCTTGCAGCAGCCGCCGCTGCCCCTGCAGCAGCCGCCGCTGCTCCTGCAGCAGCCGAGCCGCCCGAGCCACCGAGCCGCCGTTGCCGCCGAGCCGCCCGAGCCGCCGAGCCGCCGTTGCCGCCGAGCCGCCCGAGCCGCCGTTGCTGCCGAGTCGCTGGTACTGCCGAGCCGCCGAGCCGCCCTGTCCACTACACCCTGTCACTGCGGTCGCGGCCCCGTTCCTGCTGGCGAGCCTCGGTCCTTCTCGCCTGCCCGGTAAGAACAGCACCTCCTACACTGCCCTTAGCCTGCTGCTCGCGCTGCTAGTCTACTGCTGTCATGGCTACCCCCAGTGTCCTCGCTTTTGACGCTGAGGGTCGGGCCATTGACTTTGACGTCTGGGTAGATGACCTGCAGCTTTTCCTACAGTGCGATAGGGCAGACGGTCTCTCCCTCTTTGACCTCACCTCTGGTGCCTCTCCTGCCCCTGCTGCTGATGCTGACGCCACTGTTCGCTCACAGTGGGCCACACGCGATGCTGCTGCACGTCTTGCTGTGCGTCGCCACTTGCCTACCTCTGAGCGTGCGCACTTTAGCCAGTACAAGAGTGCTAAGACCTTGTACGACGCTGTAGTTGCACGCTACTCTTCCCCTGCCACTGCTGCACTTAGCCGCCTCATCCTGCCGTACCTCTTCCCTGACCTCGCAGCTTTTCCCACAGTCGCTGACCTCATTACGCACCTTCGCACTAGTGACATTCGCTACCGCGCTGCCCTTCCCGCTGAGTTCTGCGCCAAGACCCCCCCCCCCTATGTACATCACCCTCTACTACATAGTCACCCGCCTCCCTGACACCCTTCGCCTGGTCAGGGACCACTTTCTCTCTGTTTGCCCCACCACCCTCACCGTTGACCTCCTGGAGGAGCGCCTCCTAGCAGCAGAGAAGAGCATAGTCGCTGTAGGAGCCTCTCGTGGTGACCCTCGCGCCCCTGTCTTTGAGGGGTGCTCCCCCTCTCCTCTCTTGCCCTCTGTTGCCTCTGCTGCTGCGGCCGACCTCGTTGGTCTTGAGTCGGTCGGTGCGGCGTCTACCCCTAGCGGGAGACGCCGCCCTGGCAAGGGCAAGGGGGGCAGGGGCGCTGGAGGAGCTAGCGGGGGCGGTGGAGGCGGCGGTGGAGGCGGCGGAGGGGGTGGGGGTGGCAGTGGGGGTGGTGGCGGGGGTGGAGGTGTCGGTGGCGGCAGTGGAGGCGGAGGCGGCGGCGGCGGTGGCGGTGGGAGCGGAGGTGGCGGAGGTGGCGGCGGTGGAGGAGGCGGCGGCGGAGGAGGTGGAGCTGGTCGGGGTGGCGCTGCTCAGAGGGTCGGCTCCGGTGGTGTTCAGCGCCAGCAGCAGCAGCAGCAGCAGCAGCAGCAGCAGCGCACTCGTGAGACCCCCCCCCCTCAGCAGCTTCGTGAGTGGTACGCTGCACGCCAGCGGGGTTGGGGTACTGGTCCGTGCACCTACGTCCTACGCACCGGCGACCGCGCGGGTGAGCAGTGCGGGGGTGCGCACTCCACCCAGCGCTGCTTTGGCCGCCTGACGGACGCTTGGCGTCACCAGTTCCCTGAGGCCACTGAGATCCCTCGCTGGGGCGAGCTGTCTAGGGCGGGAGTAGCTATCTTTGACCTTGACTTTGATGCTATTCTTGCTGCCATGTATGCTGTGACTATTAGTGATGAGGGTGACTGTTACCGGTGTTTTCCGCCCGACCCGGGCATTAGGACTGCTGCTCTAGGTACTGGTGAGGCTGCTGCTCTAGGTGCTAGTGCGTCTGCTTCCTCAGGTGCTGGTGAGTCCGCTCTCTCAGGTACTGCGTCGGCTTCGGCCTCCCACACCTTCACCCTTGACTCGGGGGCTTCTCGCTCCTTCTTTCGAGA